AGCTGGCTAGTTGTTTGAGCCCAAATGGCCACGGCATTTACAGCGTGTCGTTTGTGCATGTTGGTGCATGTTGGTGCTTTTGGTGCTTTTTGGTGCTGGTCGTGCATATCGGCTACGCACCGAGACCCGAACGTTCCTCATCTAGACCCCTCAACGTAAGACACGTGCATTTTTGTTTCGTGAATGTTTGGCTTTGTGCCATGTGCAGTTTTCAACTTGAAACTTGTTTTCACTCAAGCGCCGTGTGGTTCTTGAATTTCGGATCTCGGCCGCCTCTGGACACCTCGCGCCACGTCAGGACTCGGCTCAAAATAGAAACTATCGCCCCACGTTGGGCGAGCCCCGTCGGGGCCCCTCGTTGCCGCGACTGGCAAGGCGGTTGCGTGACACCAGTGGCGTCACGCAACCGCCTTGCCAGTCGCGACAGTGCGACTGGACTCTCACGCAGTATGTTGAAGCAACTTCGGAGTGCTGTTCGAAGAGTTCCCCCGTTTTCCCTCATTTTTGCTAGCTGCGTCCGCCGTCGATCCAGCGGCGACTGGGAGCGTGCCGGACGCCCGCACCTCGAGTCCCTCAGCGGAGAGCCCGCCTCGAAAGGTGAGGACTAGGAAGTAGGAAGGAGGAGGACTGGAGAGATGATAAGAATTTGAAGGTGTAGCTAAGAAGGACAGGAGGGCTGGGGCAGGCCGCGGTCTGCACGCCGCGCCATCAACTCAGTTCAAGAGCTGGCTGCCTACAGGAACGATCAGTCATCCCTGTACTTCGGCGGGTTCTGAAGCAGGTGGTTGAACGCCGCGAACAGGGCGAGGTCCTGCGCCAGAGCTTTGTCCGAGATCTTCAGGATCTTGGCGAGGGCCGTTCTCTGCAACTTGGCGCGCTTGTCTCTGATGGCGGCGAGCTTCGCATTGTACTTCTGCCACTTGTCGAACTTGGCCTTGAGCCTAACGACCTTGCCCTCTAGGCGGAGCTCGCGTGCTGTCTTCGGGGTGGCGCGAGGCGGCATGGCCACGGTCTGGTGCAGCTGCTGGTGGAGGGCTCGACCGAGCTGGGTGCCCTCGAAGCCTCAAGCCTTGAACTGGAACCCAAACGGCGATGGAAAGGGATAGTGGCCGAGGAAGGTGGAGTGGAGGGGCAAGAGTAGTTGGCCACGCGCAACGCAGTGTGGCCCGAGTTTCTAAACGTAGGGCGAGGGTCTCATCAGACCCTCGCCCTACGTTTACGAACTCAAAGTTGCCATTCGGTTTCAGCACTGGCGACGCCGCATTCTTCTCAGAACCACAAAAAACTTGTTTCCCACGCCTCCTTCTCCTCCCTCACCGTTATTCCCCTCGCCTCCTCCCCATTCCCCTTCGTCGACACTCGACGCGCCACTCGCGCGACGCCGTGACGCCACTAGCGCATAGCATGCGCGTGCTTAATGCAGTCGGAGGAGATGGATGAGGAGGACGTGTTATGTGTAGTGCGTAAGTGAAATATATAATATAGTGTTTGATGCTTGATTGAGTTTATGCGTGATGGGTGTTGCAATGCACGTACTACTTGAACGCATGCGAAACCGTTGAGGCACGTGGCGGTTTGGTGTTGTTATTGTTGTAGCTGCGCGTCCCCCAGGGCAGCGGCTAGCAGTGCAGTGCAGTGGTTGGGGCGTTGGCTCGCACAGCGCAGTGGTTGGCAGTGGTTAGTGCAGGGGTTACCGTAGTGCACGAATCGGCGCCGTCTAGTTGCTAGCGCAGTGCAATGATTAGTCCAGTGTAGTGCAGTTGCTAGCGCAGTGCAATGAATCGTATCCGACATGTTCTTAATCGTTTGAAAATGTTTACAATATTCTGTATGACGTCGGTAATATTCAAAACCCCGACAGGGGCCTTAATCCCTTGCCTAGCCGCTCCTGAGCGCCTACTCAGACGCAAGGGAGACCTCGTAACCCTGATCCGTGACGAGGGCGGCAAAGTTCTTGGCGGCCCAGCCGGGGCGACGGAGAGAATGCCTGAAAGCCGAAACGGGACCAGCAACCGAACGCCAGGTCCTCCATGGCAAAGCGAACGCATTTTCGTGCGCCGAACGCAACGGCTGCTGACAACTCAAAATGGAAGGGTGAGTGCGCATTCTGGCTTTCCAGATTTCCCTGCCCACGGGTGGCGACGGCCCCGCGCCTCCTCCCTTAGCAGGTCTCGACTGTGCCACGGCAGGGGCGGCGCCGCCGCTCGGCTGCCTGACGCACTGGGAGAGCCTGGCGGCGACCTTAGGCGCATGCTCCGCCGCCGTGGCGCCTTCCATCCCCACCTCCTGGAAGACGGCGCTGATCTTGGACGGGTCGGCCCGCGTTCCCGCCGGCAGGGGGCGCCGCCAGCGAGTGCAGCTCGGCCGCCAGCGCCGCGCGCTACTCGTGGAACTTGGCGAGCTCGGCAGCGGCCTCATCCCGAATCTTCGTGGCGGCCAGGATCCGCGCCTCGGCCTGCTTGAGGGCCGTCGACTGCTTGGCAATGGCCGTCTCGCGCTCGCGCTGCTTGTCGGCGACCTCCTGCGCCCGCGCGCAGGAAGGCTTGGCTGCCGCCGGCCGCTACTCGAGCTCCGCGACCTTGCACCCCGTAGCCTCCAGCGAAGTCGCGTGCCAGGCCGCGTCGCACTCGTCGACCATGCGCTCAATGGGGCGGATGGTCTCCTCTTTCTTCTCGATGCGGCCCCGCAGCTCGGCGTCCGTGTACTTGTCCAGCTCCGAGCCCATGTTGACGTCCACTCCCTCGGCGTCGTCGCCCCGCTGCTGTGGGGGCGCCTTGTGGAGCTGGAGCTGGCGCTTGAGCTCCGCGATCTCCTGATCCTTGGTCTTGTCCGCGCGCCAAGGGGGATCAGCGTCTCGCTGGCGCGCCTGGCGCGCCTTCGAGACCGACGGCGCGGGCGGCTCGACGTTGGAACCGCAGGCGATCCCCTCTCGCCTGCCCCACTTGCCGCGCGCCGACATTGGTGCCCCGTTCCACCAAGGGTCCCCCGGGGTCGGATGCACGCAGAACCTGCACGTCCACTTGCATGCTGCATCGCGGCGGGACACACTACGCATAGCGAGATCCTACCCTGGCCGCGGGGGCGAGCAAAGCGGAACGGCGCTCTGGCACCGTTCTCCTCACCAGGGGAGGACCTGGCGGAGAAAAACGGGTCTGGCCTCGGTGACAAAGGTATCCGTGCTGGCTTGGAGGCTGAACGCCCCCCGAGCATGTAATCCGCCGACCCTTTGTGGGTCTCTAGGCGTATGAGGCTATCCCCCCCCCCATAACACCCCCCCAAACCAGCAATTTGACCCCCCCCCCCCTGGCCCGGACCGACCCCGGACCGAACGCGCCACGGGGGAGCGGAGGGCTCCAAAGCGGGCCAAGAAGGCACCAAAACGCTCCCCTGACGGTCCGGGAGGGCCACGGGCCGCTGAAATAACGCCCACGATGGCCTCCAGACGGCCTCCAGACGGCCTCCGAAGCTGCCGAGACGCCCCCAAAGGCCCCCAAGATGCGTCCAAACCCAAGAAACAAACATCGCCCCATTCCTGGAAGAACAAATAGCATTATTCGCAGACTCGCCTTTTCGGCTTTCACAACGTCCAAGACGGGCAAATAAACATGCAATATCGCCCCTGGACGGCCGAAGGGGCCCCCAAGAGGGGTCGAAGAGGGTCCAAAAACAGCCCACGAAGCCCCCAAGACAACCCAAGAGGGCCCCCAGATGGCTCCAGAAGGGAATCCAGAGGGCACCTTGTCGAGCCTTCGGCCCCAAGACGCCCCCAGCCTGCCCCACGAACACCCCAAGATGCCCTGAGGGACCCGCAAGGAAACCTCAAAGGCTTCCAAGAGGCCCCCCAGGAAGCCCCCAAGAGGCCCCAACACTTGGCCCAAGATGCCGCGAGGCGGCCGGATATGGCCCGCAGATGGGGGCCAAGATACTACCATCAGGCCACAAAAGAGCGCCAAGAGACACGATAACAACAACGAAACAACAGGACCGATGTCGAGCGCCGGGTCATGATTCGGACAAGCCGCGTGAACTGCCGTCCTAGAAGCGCAATGGTCTATACAGGGGTCGGCGGAAGAAGCGCAATCCTATGTAATCTTGAGCCAACATGGCTACGGAGTGGGGCGGAGAAGGAGGAGGAGGAGGAGGAGGAGGAGGAGGAGGAGGGGGAGGAGGAGGCGGAGGAGGAGGAGGAGGAGGAGGGGAGGAGGAGGAGGAGGAGGAGGAGGGGAGGGGGGGAGGAGGAGGAGGGGGGGGGGGCAAGCTAGGTGCGCTCGCGTCATATCTGACGTCCTACCCCTCCCTCCCATCCCTTACCATGGCGCTGATTTTCTCTATCCGCGGACGCGTGTCGTAGCGGACCTGTGGCTCCGCGCGCGCGTGCGTAGTGGGTGGTGGTGCACGTGCGTGCGTGCGTGCGTGTGTGCGTGGTTGTCGTGGTGGTGGTGGTGGTGGTGGTGGTGGTGGTGGTGGTGGTGGGTGGTGGTGGTGGTGGTGGTGGTGGTGGTGGCGGTGCGGCGCGGTGGTGGCGGGCGGATGGGCGCGCGAGAAAAAGGCCCGCGCTGGGGCGAGAACGCCATCCTGAACGACGGAGGCCAAACACCCATCCGAAAATGAGGCCCACGCTGCAGCGGGAGCACGATTCGGAACGATTCGGGAGCAGAAATGAGGCCGGCGCCTCAACGAGAGCAACATTTTGAGAAAAAATGACGCCGGCGCCTCAGCGAGAGTCGTTTCCCGGGATTTCCCGGGAATCCGGTGTGTAAAAAAACAATACGCGGAGGGTGCGCGGCCATCACCCGGACGCCATCAGGGGAAGAGGGAGAATATTATTTTCATATTGAGTAATTGTGGAGGAGGAGGAGAAGGAGGAGGAGGAGGAGGAGGAGGAGGGAAGGAGGAGGAGGAGGAGAAGGAGGAGGAGGAGGAGGAGGAAGAGGAGGAGAAGGACAGAGGATGACGGGGGAGGTCTGGACGGAGGGTGACAGAGGAGTGGTGCTGGAGGCCTCGTGCGGCTGCTGGTTGTACTGATCGTCGACGGCCTTGCATGCGATCCTCAGGATGTCTGGGGCGCCCTGCGGTACGACCACGGAGTGCCGCCACTGCACCTCGGTCCGAGGATGGTTGATCGGATATCCCGAAACGACCGCCGTGGGCATCCAGAAGCCCGAACATATGCATCCCCCTTCCTTGCGACCAACTACTCCTCGACGCGCCACCAGACATGTCAATAAGGCGGTCTGGCCGCTTGGTCCGACACTTCCTCATCATCTGTGATGCTGGAGCTGGACTTTCCTCACACTTCCCAAACGTTGGGACCCAATCTTTGACGGATGTGCAACAGTTGGCAGGAAGGGGGCACTTCCGTACCAAAAGAGGGATATCGCCCCAGACATCCTAAGCAATGACGCCCCGACGTCAGGGCGTATCCTATTCACAGAATGGCTATCGCCTGCGACTTTCTCAAGCCGTACGGCGTGAGGAAGTGTGCAACTGCTGTTAAGTAGGTGGAGGCCAGCTCCTTTTTCAAAGCGGACCTCTCGCTGGGCACGTTCCTTGGCTATCGGGTTCTATAGCGTTCGTCGGGCCACTTCCTTTACAGAACGAGGCCCTCGTCTGCATGGTAGACCCGTGGGGTACCCATCCTCCAACAATGGCGGTGCGTCCAGCAATGACGCAGAATGCCGGTAGGTGCTTCTGGGGGCGGGGCTTGTCACGGGAGGGTGCACCACAACATCGTTGGCGCCTCCTGGATCTACTCCGGTCCCCTCTCTCCTGCTTCCCCGCCGCCAACACCGCGACCACCACGCGGCAACGCCCGACGCCCCCGGCCCGCCCCCCGCTCTGGGCGAACGGTTGTGGGGCTCAGGCCCGTCTCCGAACAACTCTTGAGAGCGAGCAGCTCTTGAGAGCGAGGGGCCTCTCGGGCCCCAGCGCCATTGGGTGACATACCATCTGGTACGGTCTTCGGGGTCTCGAGGTCATTGGACCATCTGTCACCAGACCGTGTAAGCCCCCCCAGAATGGAGACGGGCCGAGGATCGAGAAGGATCGAGGTCGAAGTTTGACGTGTCCTCGGCGGCTTTGGCGCCATCTTTCGGATAAACCTCGGGACTGCAAGACTTCTTGAGGTACGAGCGACAAATGCAGTTGGAAAGTATGTGCAAGCTCTGTGAGTCGTTAGTCCGTCTGGGCCACGTACTACAGTGTCACGGTGAGCAATTAGCAACTGTCTCCAAGCATCGTGGGACGCGCCCGCGTACCATACCGACACGGGGTGGAGGAGTGGAGGGGGGGCATGTGAAGCTGCATGCCAATGGTGCTAGAAAAGATTGGGAGGGCGGGTTGGTCATATATTGAGAACAGTGAATGATATAGCCAACTATCTTTGTGTTCTTGCAGCAGCTTGCCATGTGGAGAGAGGGGGAGGAGGACAAGGGAGGGGACGTGGGCATCCCACGAGCAACGCATCACGGATCACCTCTAGGTGGCATGCCAGAACACCCGTATACACGGACAGTCATCGACCAGAGGCTCAACGCGCATGCCCAGAAGCCAAGACATACTTATACAGCAAACGAGCAGAATACGGTGCGGGTATTGGATAAGGAACCATTGGATCATGCATCTAGGGTCTGGAAGCTGGTGGACCGCCAATTCTTGGATTGGCCATGGATACCACTGCCGACCTCATGAGATAAAGAAGCCTGCAGGGTCTGGAGCCTCCTGGGTACATTCCTTAACGCACGCCCCCACCGTATGAGAGGGGTACGGCGGAGACGGCAAGAAGGGCTGCTCTGGAAGCACCCACGCCCAAGCTCTTCCGCTCCTCACGTCCTGCGACTCGTCTGCTCTGTTGAACTCCGCCTGCGGACAGGCCGAGGAGGGTGTCGGAGGAGCGCGGAGGGGGAGGAGGAGAGGAGGGACTAGGGGGAAGGGAGGGGTGAGGCAGGGAGAGGAGAGGAGGAGGAGAAGGGATGAGGAGGGGAGGAGGCAGTCGAGAGAATGAGAAGAGACACGTGGGAAGATGGGGGAGAATTGTCTGCCTGCGACCACGTCCTGCCTCCGTCGATGGAAACGTCCACCCTGATGACGGCGCTTCCAGCCCTGATCCCGGGCCACTGGCATGCGGGCAGTGGCATGGCAAGAGAAGACACGAACATGGAGAGAGACAGAGAATAGCTCGCAAAGGACATGGGAGCGAACTTCGAGCCTCTCGAGGTGCCTCTGGGGGCCTTTGGGGAAGACCTCGGAATACCTCGGATGACCATGGGGGACTGCTGAGGACCCCACAGGACCTCAGAGGTCCCCCACTGGTCCACCATGGGCCCCGCAGGTCGGATGGCCTCGGCAGGTTGCACTGGTCCACCACTGGCCGCATGGCCCCTGATACGAAGCTCTACTGGCAAGCAGGCGACGAGCTTTTGATCAGGGCGGACCTTCCCCGAATGAGGTTGGGTAAACGTCTTCTCGCCCTGCCCTTGGCCCTCCTCGAAGGAACGCGCTCAGACCAAGCGATAGCTGCGAATCCAGCCGTGGCGGCGAAGACGCCACAGGAACGCCCCGAATGCAGGCAACAGCGTACCACTCGGGGGGCGTCAACGAGGGGGGCGCCAAGAAGAGCTGTTCGCAAGTCGTGGCCAAGAGGCATGTGGGCGGACAGCGGGGGGGACCTGCCATGCACACTCGGGGAAAGAAAGCTGCTGGCCCGGAGGGAGCTCCGGGAAGGAGGGCGGGGCGCGGGCGGGGCGAGCCGCGCCCGGCCGTGCCACGGGCCGCCTGCTGGCTGCGTGGCCTGTGCTCCGAGGGGGTGCCGGAGCGCCTGCAGAGCGGGCCCTGCAGCAGGGGGGCCCGACCAACAAGACAAGACACCCAACCCAACGCTCGGGGCGCCCCTGCAAGCGCCAAGACACCCAACCCATCAGGGGGCCCGACCAACCAGACAAGACAGCCCTGCCGCAGGGGGCCCGACCACAGGGAACCTCCCGCAAGACTTTTTTGATCCGCGGGTCGAGAGCGCACCGCTTCGGGTCGAAGCTGAGCGGGCCGCGCAAAGCTCGAATTAGGCGGAGAGGAGGAGGGAGGAAGCGGCGGAGCCTCAGAGCGAGGCCGAGAGGAGGCATAGCCTCGGGTACAGGCGGTGCCGAAGCCGAAGTTCTTGCAAAGGGACGCGACCTTCCGCAGGACACCCAACCCTGAGACCCCAGGACGTCCATCGGTTTTTGGTCTGGGAGCGTAGCGCTCTTCATAGCAAACCGTCAGGACCCAAGAAGCCCAGGGCACCCTGGAGGCGAGCAAGGATTCTCCTGGCATGGGCCTCCACTGTTTAATTTGGGCCCCAGAGCTATCACCACACAACCCCTCTTTGAGATCGCCTTGCTCTGTCTTTGGGCATGGCACTCGATCCGGCCAGACTGTTCCGTGCGCGCCTGCTCGAAGATGGTGCGTCCCAAGTCTAGGCCATAGCGCGTCGCAAGGTCGCTCCATGTGCATTCCGTGCTCGCTCACACGAATATGCCGTGTCCCCAATCCAAGCTTCGGTACATCTCGTAATCATTCCAAATGCATTCCGTGCGTGCTCGCTAGAGGGTGACGCGTCTCAGGTTTAGACCACGGTGAGTTTAAGGCGAACGAGGTTATGATTGTTCCACGTTGCCCATGTCAAGGGAATGTGGCGAGGATCCACGATTCTCACCGTTGCGGGTCACTCGGATCAAGAAAATGCAACACGGGCCTCGTGTCCCAACTGTCACAGGCCTCGCAAGTACATCCAAATCATTGGAGAGTCCGAGATCCACATTGGATCATTGGAATGCTGATAGGCCGGTTCTTTGCAAACGTACTTTTAACAACGCCCCTCCCTCGCCGCACACCCTTGTCCATGCAAAAGAATGGGGGATCCCAAAGGTACCGGTACGGCTCCTCCCAAGACTACCTCCTGGGTGCATTCTGGTCAGGATTTCGAGGCGAGTCCAGCCGTGGCGACGAGGGCCTCGGAGGAGGCCTCCCAAAGGCGAACACGATGCAAGGGTAGCAGTATCGGTAGCCCACTAGGGAGTGAGGGCAAGTGCGCCTCGCACTTCGCGGCCCGTTCCCCCACCGATCCTCCTCCCCTCCCCTCGTTATCCTGGATCCTCCTCCTCCCTCCTCGTCGATTCTCGATTCGAACCTCGATTCTCCTACTCCCTCTCCTCCTACTAGTTAGCTCCCCTGCGCCCTTTGCATCAGGACGGGCCTAGGGCGGCAGCATGTTGCCCCAACGCCCCCGCCAAGCATCACAAGACGTTCCCAAGATGCCGCAACCTGTCCCAGCAAGCCTTCAGGCTGGACGCCTCAGGGACCCACGACAGAGCCCTGGAACGCCACCACCAGTGAGACACACGAGTTCCTGTGCGGTCTGGCTGAATGGCCTGAATGAAACGTCATCAGGAAAGCTCCAGGGCGCCCCAAGATGGCCCCTGACGGCCCAGCGAGTGCTCCAAGGCAGCTCCTCCTCGAAAGACAGGCCCCACCACCTTCAGCACGGGCCCAAAGGTGAAGCTCCCGAGAGGCCTCAAAGAAGCCTCGAAGAGGCCCGAAGCAGGCCCGCGACGAACCTCCAATAAGCTCCAAGAAACAACGTAACGCATGCAATGTTACAAACACGCAGCACTGCAGCACTGAAGCGCTGCTTCCCGCACGGCCACAAGATGGCTCCACCGAGTCTGTCCTGCAGTGCTCGGCACAGCCGTCAAGAAAGAATTTCGGCACTGTGCTGACAGGGACGCGGGGCCTGCCGCAGGCAGCTGGACACGTGCTCGCGATACTGTCTGGATGCGCGCGTGTCAGGCCCCCGACGCACGGAGCCCAGCATGCCTCCACGACCGGCTCTGGATGCGTGCGACGCCCTGCGTTCCGCAGGCCAGCCGAGGCCTAGGACCGACCTCCTGGTGGGCGAGGGGGCCATGACGGGGGGGGGGGTAGCCCTGGGGGGTGGAGGCATCGACCTGGCATCGGCGACACGTCGTCGACAGCTCGGCGACGGGCCCCCGCTTAGGAAAGCCGCACCCGTGCCTGGGCGGGGTGGGGCTCTCTCGGGCCCCTGTCGGCGATCCATGGGCGATTTTGGGTGTCGATGCGACCCCCCCCCCAGGAAGGGCCTATCACTACTACAAATACGGCTACTTCTACGACTTCTACGACTACTACCACTGCTACTACGACTAATACGCCTACTACGACTCCTCCTCCTCCTCCTCCTCCTCCTCCTCCTCCTCCTCCTCCTCCTCCTCCTCCTCCTCCTCGTGTCGATGCGTCCCCCCCCCCCTATGCCTCATCCCCCCCCCGGATCGTTGCCCCCGAGTGGGTCGGGAGCCGCCCCTCCGGCCCCGCCACGGTCCTCTTCCGCCCCAGCCCCCGGGACCCCAGAGGCGCGCAACACGGCGGCGACGCCACGGGACAAGGCGTGCGAAGCAGCGTCGCGACCTCTGCGGCACCGTGCGCCGCCCAGACCACATGCCCCCTACTGTTGTCAAGGTATGGGAGGCTGGCCTCTCTTTTCTCTCGTTCTCTCGTTCTCTCTCTCTCTCTCTCTCTCTTTCTCCGTCTCTCTTTTTGTTGTGTTGTGTTATCTTTCTTTCTTTCTCTCTCTCTCTCTCTCTCTCTCTCCCTACACACATATGTATATATATATATATATAGATCCCTCTCTCCCCCTCGCATGTTTTTTGTTTATAAAAACGAATTATATATATATATCTGTCTTTCTCTCACCCTCCCATGCCTTGGGGTAGACTCCAACAAGAATGGGCCACCTCGGCGGACATTCGAAACAACTGTTCCTGGCATCTCGGGCCCCAGGGCTTCAATGAAGCGAATCATGGATTACAGTCTGTCTTGGACTTCGATCAATTGGCTCATTCACCACGGGCGTGTTACCATATCTACATACACGTTGATATAACAGACGTCCGTCTACATATGGGCGATTCTGGAAACCCTCAACCCAACAACGTTTTCATCTCTTGGGGGCGTATTGTTTACTTCCTTTTTCACAGCACTGCGCCCGAACACCTTCAGAGGGACGCTTCGTGAGGGGCCTAGGGTAAAATCCACCGATCGTCGGCGCACGATATGTCTATTCATAGCGAGGGGTCGGGCCCTAACGGGAGCGCCGCCGACTTCCGGGGGCGGCCAAGAGGGGGGCGTCCAAGAGGGGGGTGCGCAAATCCTGGCCGGCGGCATACTCGAAGGCAAGGCACTCTGTGGAACGCTTATGTGTCGGTCCGCTAATACGGCCTTCCACAGATCCTGCTGGCCCGTCGCAGCCGTGGCCCCCCAAAACATGGAGTAGTATCGAGCAGCGGCCTGCAGTACAGCAAGGCGAAGGGTAGGATATCGATCAGCTGAACACAGAGCTGGAGGACAAGCATGGTCATCCTGTATGCTGTAGGGCGAGGAGCCAGGAGCCAGTAGGAGTAAGGAGTATGAAGGAACAGTAATCAGAACGAGGAGAAGACGGTAAGTGTAAGGAATCTGAGGCAACACGTGGATACGGCGCCGAGGAGAAAGAGGAACAAGAAGAAACAGAGACGGAAAGGGAAGAGGAGACCAGGACTCTCAGATCTTCCCGGGCTTGCTCCAGGAAGCGCTGAGTTCCATGCATTCTCCCCCTGAACCCCCCACACGCCCCATAAGACACTCCCCCTCGTGTTCCTATCCTCCTCCCTGCTGCCTCTCCCCATGGGGCCCCGCGCCCTCCCGCTGTACGCGTAGCCCGCGATATCCAGCCTCTCGCCAGGCGAGACCTGCGCTTCTCGTCGCCTTCCATGCGCTCCTCCTCCTGCGCATTGTGCTGCTGCCCTCCTCCTCCGTCTGCTGCTCCTCTTCCCGCTGCTGGTCGCGCTCTTTCCCCTGTGCTCGTCATCGTCCTTCTTCTCCTCTCCCATCATCCCCTCGCCCGGCTGGTACAACTGGCGTGGTCAACTGAACAATGGCCGCGGCGGGCCAGGCACACTTCAATGCGGAGGATCCGTGGATCTGGCGCCCACCGATCGGGGAATGTACCACAGGAACGCACGAGGTCAACGCTGCCCGATCTCGCGAAGGAGCCCGCCGCTTCTGTGCGGAAACGGGACCCGTCGCGAATCCAAGCGCCTTAATACACGCTTGCGTTTCTTAAACACGCGGCGAATGGGAAGATTGGCTGCCCCCTTCCCCCCTTCCGCTTTCCCAGGGTCCCAACATCGCGATCATCAGGGGGATGGCATGAGCTCTCCAATGCGTCCCAAGGCCATCGGAGCCTCCAGATCCCATTTCCAACGCCGCCCAGAAACTCACGATGCGTTCTGACAAGACGCAAGAACAACTCCGACACTAGGCACACTAGGCTTTCAGACGACCCACGACGGCCTCTAGATAGCCCAGGAGACTCGGGGACACACCAAAAAAGACCCCACTGGTACCACCAAATTTTCGCGTTCTCGCCTTCCCCCAGGCAGCCTTGCGACGCACCCCAAGAGACCTCCACAAGGCTTCCTCCGCAACGACCTCTGTCCCTTCCACCTTGCCCCCTGTGTCTTCCCCCCCCCTGCTCCCCCCCATCCTATCCCTCTCGTCGCCCCTGATCACCTTCATTCCCCATCCTCATCCCCATCTTCCTCCTCCCTCCTCCGAGGTCTGAAGAGACAGACCCTCCGCGTAATCATGCGCATCGTCCACCTCCTCCTCCTTCTGTCCCTCCTCCTCCTCCCCCTCCGCCTCTCCCCCCCACGTCCTCATTCTCCTCACCCCCTCGTCGTCCCTCCCCGCGCGAGGGGTGCCGTGGAGCCCGGGTCCGGGGCGGTGATGGCGCTCGTGATGGGCACGTGATCGACGGGCGGCAGCGCCCGGATGTGCTCTTTCGGAACGGCGCTCAATGACTTCTGGTTGGGGCCTTGGCTGGCTAGGGGTCGGCTTCACCCTCCTCCTCCTCCTCCTCCTCCTCCTCCTTTTCTTCTTTTTGACGTTGGGCGAACTTTAATCCTAAGATTGTAGCGTCTGTGAGAAAAATCCCATGCAGTGCCGATTTAGGCCCAGGGGCCGCAGCCTCATCCTCCTCTTCTTCCTCATCCTCCGCCCTGCTCGTCGCACGTCGCACGTCGCGTCCCGCAGAGAAGTAGATGTCCGACCCTGCAGCCTGGCAGAACATTACCTCCTCGTACTCCCAGCAACCTCCGAGCAGCCGAGCATGCATCCTTTGGATACACGATTCGCCACTATCCAATGGGTAGACACCGGTTCGCGTTATTCTCGTTATTCTCCGCTCCCAGGCGACAGAGGGGCTCAGACGCTCTCCTCAGAACCCTGATATTCGTCATCTCTTGAACTTAGGTCGTTCGAGTCGGAGGGGGAACACAACTCATCAACCGTCAACCTGCCAACACTGACAATAAGCAAGACCCGCAACTCGAAATGGCAGGAAGACGGGTCGTCCTGTGCCCACAGTGACAACGTTACCAACAACCGATTACCATTGTGGGGGTCCTGGGATGCCAGCGCCACCTTCTTTTAGGTATGGGTGATGTTCAAGCGCTGATTGAGCAGGGACCGGCCGTCCCGGCATTGCTATAGTCATACCAAATGTTCTTAGAACCCAAACATGTTCTCATAACAAAAACAATGTTCTTAGAACATAGACCCGATAGGTTAAAAGAAGACAGTCCCAGCCAGAAATGTTCTAAGAACATTTCGTGGGAACCACAAACGGTTCTTAGAACATTTTTTGGTGGGGCTATAGGCGAGCCGGGACGCTTCGCCACTGCTTGAGCTGAGTGAAACCCGAAGCTATCGTACCAGTCCGATGGCGAGACGTGCGCCAAAGCATACTCCCCCCCATACCCCCCCCCCCCCCCCCATACCCCCATACCCCCCCTACCCCCATACCATACCATACCATACCCATACCATACTACTATACTACTACTACTACTACTACTACTGCTATTACTACTACTACTACTACGACTACTACTACTACTACTACTACTACGACGACGACGACGACGACGACGACGACGACGACGACGACGACGACGACGACGACTACTACTACTACTACTACGACTACTGCTACTACTACTACTACTACTACTACTACTACTACTACTACGACTACTACTTCTAGTACTACTACTAGTGCTAGTACTAGTACTAGTACTAGTATTATTATTACTACTACTACTACTACTACTACTACTTCTTCTACTATTACTACTACTACGACTACTACCACTACTACCACTACTACTACTACTACTACTACTACTACTACTACTACTACTACTACTACTACTACTACTACTACTACTACTACCACTACTACCTACTACCTACTACCTACTACCTGCTACCTGCTACCTACTACTACTACTACTACTACTACTACTACTACTACTACTACTACTACTACTACTACTACTACGCGCCAGCACCCAGTTGCGCCAGCATTGTTTCTGATATTGTGGGAGGGCGGAAATTGTCCGTTGTTCTTTTCAACATGGCCAGTCTTGTCGTCGACGATGCGAAATGCGTCGCGGGAATGGGACGCGGCGCACATCCCGCGAGGACGTCAATGCGGTGTCCTGGGGTATCCTCCACTCGCACTGAAATTGAAATGCCCGCGCAGCCCCCAGTTGTGCCATCACTGTTTCTCATGTTGTGGGAGGGCGGGTGGGAATGGGCATGCCATGCTTGACTCGCTCGAGCTTGCTAGCTTGACCCATACCATACCCCCCCATACCCCCATACCCCATGTGAGATTGCTCCCGCCCACCCCCCTCCGAAAAGGCCCCCCAGACGGTCCAAGAGGGCCCCGACTCGCCGAACTATCGCTCCAAGCCGTCCAAGATGGCCTCCACACGGCTCAAGATGCTTCCAAGATGCCCCAAGAGGCCTCTAACAACGCCTCTCGAAAAGGCTGTCAGAAGCCAAAATCGTCCCATCCCCGTCGAAAAAGCGTATGTAGATTTAGCAGATTCGACCCTGGGGCTCTCGCTGCGTCCTGTACGGCCCAAAAAGCCCCCAGGAGGGTTCCAGGACGGCCCAAGATAGTCTCAAGACGGCAAAAACGGCCAAAGAACCCCCCAAACCGGCCGTAGAGGGCCCCGGACGGCCCCCAGAAAAAGCCCAGAAGCGGAACCCGACCGGAACTTCAGACCCGTCGGCCCCAAGACGCCCCCATGTTGCCCCAAGAAACACCCAAAAAACTCAAAGGGGCCCCCAAGGAACACCAAGTGATCCCCCAAAAAACCACCAAGACCTCGCCAGGAGGCCCATCAGAGGCCCAAAATCTGGCTCCAACGCACCCCCCCGAACACTCCCACGAAACCCCGTAAGCCATTCGAGTAGCGTCCGGGGTGCCCGTACACTGCCTCCAGATCCAAGGTGGGACCATGCGTTCTGGGGGTACCCGGATCGTTCCGAACGGTCTCCAGAGGCCTAAGCTCACGCCCGCAAGCCAGATCCTCACTTTTCCTCCTCCACCCTTTCCTCCTCCTCGTCCACCCCTCCTCTTCCTCCTCCTCCTCCTCCTCCTCCTCCTCCTCCTCGTCTTCCACTTCCGCATGCCCCTTCCTCCTACTTCGACCCTGCAGCCCGAACGTTCGCGCGCTGCCCAACGCTTCAGCGGGTCTCACGCGCACGACTTGCACTTCAGGATCCCCCTTCTGGCGCGCACGTTCGACATGTGGTCCAACGACGAACTGAGATTTCGGGAGCTTCCTTTTGCAAGTGCCGAAGCACTCGTACACTTGCCAACTGCGCGCCGTGAAGCCGAAGCCCACGCAGCCTGCGCATACAATTATACTCCTCCTCGTGAAGTGATCATTTTCCTGTCTGCCGCTTACGTATCCCTACCGCGGAAGCTTCTTCTCGCACGCCGCGCGCGCCAATTCTCGCTGAAGCCATTTTCGCCGCATCGGCCACTTCCTTCGCGGTGCCGCCACGTTCGCTACAGTCCCCCCACACACCACGCGCGCCTGCTTTGTTTTTTCGATGATCCTCAACTTGCCCATTCTTCAAACGTTTTGTGCCCACGACAATTCGCCCCGCACGCCGCGCGCGTCAGCGCCTTCGCTCTCGCCTCCACTTTCCTCTTGCGGTTCGTTGCCTTGGCGTTCGCTCTACGCGCCGCTTCCTCCTTTTCCTCCGCGCAGTTCTTGCAAAGCCTCTCCCCGGCTACGTTGCGCTTCTTCTGCGCATCCGACATGGCCGTGGACTCGTCAAACAAAAAAAGACAGGCACGCGCCGTTCGATCACCGCACTGTTCGGACGCTGTCGTTCCAGCTCGCAGACACACTGCGCGACATCTTCTTGGCTTTCACATGCGCGCACCTCGCGCAACACATGGTCCGAATCCTTTGGCCCTTACGCTCGTCGCCTGGTGCCTTCCCGCCCCGCTCGCCGACCCGCAGCGCGGGCCCCTCCACGTCTGCGTTGCAGGCCCAACCGTTGCACGTATTGCGCCACTTGTCGCGCCCCCACTTTCCATCTCCACTACGCACTCTTTACAACATGCCGGCGTCTCCCCTTCCTCTGGGACTCGTACTCCGAGAACGCCTCTACAAGAAGCCTGCGCCAGCACCGCCCGTACTGGTCTCACGGCATTAGACATGCAGGCCTCGCGCGGGCCCTCGGAAAATCCATCCTCTGTCGGGTGGGCAAAACACTGCTAAGGCGAGTTCTGTATTGTCCACGCTTGAAGAAACGTCATGTTGGCCGCGCGCGCCGACTACAGGCGCCAGCAGGAGTTTTGCCCGCATTGCCAGGCAAACCACTTTGAGCAAACTCGCCAACCAAAGCGAAGCAACTCCCATTGCAATCCTTATGGGTTATTACATGGGGGAATAACCCCAAACAGTTAGCCAGCCAGCCCAATTCTCATGATGATCTGCTCGCACATCCTCCCGCGTGCAGGGTAGCCCACAATGGATTATTCCGCTGGGGAAATAACCCGCAAACGTGGCCGAGACCGCCCCACAGTTGAGGGAACATGACATCCGCCGCGACGAGGAGGTGTTGCTTTGGTCGCCGCCGAAATCTGAAGGGGGGGGGTCAAAATTAAAGACCTCCTGAGGTTATGTGGCCTACTGTCGCCGTGTGCGTTTTCCTAGCAAGGCTCAGGATAGGCGCCCCCAGACCAAGTCCAAAACGGCCCCAAAGAGTACGGCCTACGACAATCCCACACCTAACAACACCGAACAACTTACCCCCGCGGCGGCTCAAATAATACCTCCCAAACACCGGGGGAAGCCTGGCAAAACCTTCCGCGGCCCCCCCCCCACAAAAAAACAAACTGCCCTGCGACGTACTCAACCCATTTGCATCGATTGAGGCCAATATTGACAGGAACGACGACAGTGCAGGCGAGGCGATTTGTTGTGCAAGCTATCTGGGATGCGCGATCGTTGCGCGACTCACAGGGCAGCGACCGACAGGACGAGGATTGGGGCCCGAAGCTTGAAGAAGAACGACGGCGGGAACGACGGGCAGGAGCATTACGGAATTGTGGAGGCGGGGGGTCATCGCGGCAGCAGCAGCATGGAAAAAGTGACAGGGCGTGCGAACATCAAACGGTCTAATCCCAATCTGCGGCGAGTGCTCCCTATGTTTGCCCCCCCCCAGCAGCCTTCGAAAGTGGCGACGGCTTCGCAAATCGCAGCCTTCCAGAGATGGCGGTCTCTAGTCTGGATCTGCAGCGAGCCCCCACTTGGCTGCGCCCCCCAGCAGCCCTCACACGTGGCGACAGTTTCACAAATCGCAGCCCCCCAGGGATGGCGAGGTTTAGTGTCAATCTGCGGCGAGTGCCGCCTATGCTGCCCCCCCAGCAGCCCTCGAAACTGGCGACAGTTCGCACATCGCAGCCATCCAGAGATGGCGGAGTCTGACCTGAATCTG